GAGCTTGTGCTGAACCCTTTCATTGAGAAGAAGCCATTCAAATGAGGCAAGTGGTCAGGTTTCAGGGTATTGAGTCTAAGCTTCCTGATGTCTGCTGTCAGCAGGTTGACTGACATCTAGGAAGGCCACACCCAAAGGCAGAGCAAGAGAAGGGGACACACAAAGGGCATTTCCATGGAACATTCTATCCCAAACAGGGCAAAGAGGTAGTATTACAAAGGAACAGGTGAGTGTAGCTCAACCCATGGGTGACACACCTACATCTGAAGACACACCCTCAACTTCCTGAACCGGGACAATGCCCAAGTCACTAGGAAATATAGTGATCCCTCAGAGCCTCTCACTTCAGGTTGGAAGGCATGGGTCATTCAGAGTGGTTCCCCAAAGATACATGCTGAGGTAAAAAGAAAGACCAGAGAGAATCTGGGTCCTTCATTCAGCAAGCCATTAAATAAGCCATTCCTGGAATTTCCCTTTTTGTTCAGATTTTTTTTTTTTTTTTTTGCTTTAGAGGACTCAATTTTGTCAAACAATACTGTCTTTCTCCACATCCTTATTGAACCAATTCTAAGAGAAATCAAGGAAAATGATGTTCCTCAATTGAAATAACTTAAAGATGCTGTACCAGTTAATACATCTGAAGTTTATCATGTTGAATTTAGAGGAATTTTACCCCCTCTTGACAGGAACTTGGGCTTGGGCACTACTTAATTCTCTCTGCAATGATGGAAGTTATACTCATATTTTCTGTATTACTATTCATAACAAACATATGACCTTAAAACTGGAGGGATACCTAAATCTGTGAAAAGCTCTAATTTGTTGTTAAAATTGAAATATTGAAACTTCTAAAGTGAGAAACGAAAATACCCATCTACTCCTGGTCCTGAACTGAGTTCCTAAGTAGCTGCAACACATTGCCACCCTTCAGCAGTCACATTCTTCTAAGTATGTGCATTCTGCTTGAGATAGACTCTTTTTGTTTTAAATTCTAATTAGTTATACATAACAGAAGAATGCATTTTGACTCATTGTACACAAACAGATCTCAAATTTCCATTTCTTTGGATGTAGAGTCACACCATTGATTCAATCAAACCTGTACATAGGGTAAGGGTAATAATGTCTCATTCCACCATCTTGAGACAGACTATTTGCTGCTGTTCACATAGCTGTAGCCAAACTTCCAAATTACTAAAGTTAAAGATTCAAGGGTGGGGCAGACATAAAGCAAGACATCTGTATGACTAAAAATCCCTCCCCTTCACTTTGTAGCATTATTTGGAATGAAAGGGAAAACAATAAATTTGACACAGCTTCAGGACAAAGGGCTTTTCTGAAGCATTATACCAGAATCTTCTGTAGTTTTGCATTTTCATGTAAAAATGTCAGACAAAATTTTTAAATATGATATTAAAGTCTGTCTGAGACAGCAGGATCTATAGTCTGATTTTTTTCTTTAATTGCTACAGTAGCATCAAACAGCCAGCAAATTCTCATACATCTAACAACTTTCAGAGGTTATTAATTTTTACATCCTGAAATAATTTTGATATCACATCCCTATCAAGCCATAATCTGATTATGAAACTCATGCAAGAAAGATTAGTAGAGTGGAGGAAAGGGAAACGGGAAGTGCTGGGGACTGAATTAGAGCAAATACATTCCATGTTTGTATAATTATGTCAAAATGGATCTTAATTTTATCTATAACTAAAAGAACTAAAAAAAAATTCTACAGACTCATGCATTTTAAAATACTGTTTCATTGGGCTAGGGTTGTGGCTCAGTGATCGAGCATTCACCTGGCATGTGTGAAACACTGGGTTTGATCCAAATAACTAAAAAAATTTCTTAAAAAATAAAATATAAAATACTATTTCTTATTAGCCATGAAATAGTCTGTTAGCTTTCCATTACTATTCCAAAATACCTGGAATGATCACTCATAAAGTTTCAAAAAAGCTGATTTTTGCTCACAATTTGGGTGGTTTCAGTCCATAATTGATTGGCCCCAGTGCTTCAGGGTTGATGGCAAGGCAGGAAGCACATGGTGGACCAAAGCAGTTCACCTCATGGCCAGGGAGCAAAGAAGAGAAACGGCTGGGTTCCCACTATACCCTTCAAGGGCACACCTCCAGTGACCTAAAACCTCCCACTAGGTCCCACATCTTTTACACTGCCCTCCCCTTCATAAGACCAAGCTGTAGGCTTAACACTTTAATACAGAGCTTTTGAGGGACATTCCAAGTCTAAAGTGTAGCATTCTGCTCCTAGCCTCATACCCACCTCACCACAGAAAATGCTTTTAGACCTTTTCCAAGCATCTCGAAGTCTTACCAGAACTGCATTGTTGAAAAGTCCAATTTCAAAGTCTCTTGCAGGACTCAAGGCAAACTCAGCTGTGAGATCCTATTATAATCAAAATTAAAATTACATGCCTACAAAACCAACATTGTGTGAATGACACCAAGGCCCACTACTGGGTTCAATACCTAAAATTGAATTTTTTTTTAATTGATGTATACGTCAGAAACGAAGTTTAAAGCATTTTCAATCATCTGATAAATTTTAGATTTTTAAAGGATTAGATTTTTAAATTAGTACTAAATTAGATGCTACACTAAAGAATTTGTTAATTTTTTTTAAATTATTGGTCAATCATTCATTGGATTAAATGAGTAAAACATCTAACACTAAACACCTTTTGGGTGCTGGGGTTGCTGAACCCAAGGCTTCACATATGCTAAGGACATGTTACACCACTGAACTACACCCACAACACCAAAACCAGCATTTTAAATGCCTTTATCCTGTGTCATTCCTGTAGATCCCAAGGGCAAAGTAGTCACTGGACTCAAAACATTGGCTACTGCAGCCAATCAAAACTAAGAATGCAGGGCTGGGGCTATGGCTCTGTGGCAGAGTGCTTGCCTAGCATGTATGAGACACTGGTTTGATCATCAGCACCACATAAAAAATTAATAAACAAAGATATCATGTGCCCCTCTACAACTAAAAAAAAAAATTTAAAAACAAAAACTAAAACTAAGAATGCCCTATTACTAGAGTCACCTATATAGAGATTTCACCTTGGGTTTGTCCTGAAGTGATCAATTACATAACCTCCAGATCTACCCTGCAACCAAGGTCTCTGAGAGTTACTGTGGGTTGAAGACAGCTCAACACTGGTTAAGGGTGTGGGTTGTTTGAGCATGTTTATTGAGCCCAAACCAGGTTTTGCTCTAGCAACCAAGACATGGCTTGTTGAGACAGATGTAAAGTCCCCACCACTACCCTGCTCTTTGCCTGACCTTTGCACCAAGCATTTGGATTCATGTACTGTATTATAGACCTTAAAGGCACTAGTGTCAAACAAACTCATACATATACATAGTTATCTCACACTAGATAAAGGCTCCATATCACACATTGAGGAAAAGATAGTCTCTTCAACAAATGGTGCTGGGAAAACTGGAAATTCATATGTAGTAAAATGAAATTTAACTCCTGTCTCACCCCACACAAAACACAAAGTGCATCAGGGACAGAACAGTCTCTTCACATCTTGCACACAATGCAAATTGGCCCCTCCCTACTCCTGAGTCTCACAAGAAACATCTAACCTCACTACAGAACTCTTCTATGCAATGCTGCCTTTCAGCTGTTAACATCTATGGAAGGACATAGCTCTCTGGTCCTTCCTAATGTCCTCAGTAAAGAACTGAAGTCCACACTTTGTGAGAAGTACCAGAGAGCGCTGAGATGGAAAGCTGCTGGTGTGAGAGGCTAGTCAAACTATGAAAGAAAAAAACAGAGAGGGGTATGCATGTATGTAGCTCAGTGGTACAGTGCTTATCTAGCATGCATAAGACCCAGCACTCCATACCAGCACCAGGGGGGAAAGAGAAGCATGGATTGAGGTTATCCCCAATGAGGCCTTTGGCCAATGGGAAATCAAATGGCCTGCTCGGGGAGGGGTGGGGTGATGTAGCCAGCCAGGACTAACAACATCCCAGATACAAGAGGTTAATGTCAAAGCTGTATGCCCCATGCCAATCTGTTAAGCAGGCAGACCTTTTCCAATCACCATGACTATTTTTTTCACAAAACTAAAGGTACCATTCAATCCAGCAATTGCTGTCCTTGGCATTTACCCAAAGTTGACAACTTACATATACACACAAAAAATGTTTATAGCATTATAATTTATACCAGCTTAATTCATAATCACAAAAATTTAGAAGAAACTAAATTGTCCTTCAGAAAGTGGATTAATTGTGGTACATTCACACAAAGTAAAATTCCCCAGTGATGACATGAAATGAGCTATCAGCCCATGAACAGACTGGAGGAAACATAATAGCTTATTACCTATACAAAGAATGAAAAGACTACATACTGTGTGATTCTAATCAGTAACATTCTGGAAATGACAAAATTACAGGGACAGTAAAATGTCCAACCAGTGGTTGCCAGGGGTTAGAAGGAAGAATGGAAAGACAGAGCACTAAGAAGTGTTGTACAATGGTGGATGTGGATCACCATACATTTGTCCAATCCCACAGACTATTTAACATTAGAAGTGAACCCTAATGTAAATTATGGACTTTGGATGAAGTGTCACTTCTATCAAAAGTACCTCTCTGGTATTAGCAGGAGCTACATGTATGGTAGAAGTGGGTATACAGGAAATCTTTCTATCTTCTGTAAAATGATGCCATGAAGATTAAACTGCTCTAAAACAAAGTCTATTTTTTAAAAAAAAACAAAACAACTATTAGAATGGTTAAATATATTCTCAATTGATTAAAAAAAAGTCATAGTTCTAACCAGATGTGGTGGCACACCTGTAATTCCAGTGACTCTGGAGACTGAGGCAGGAGGATTGTAAGTTTAAGGCCAGCATCAATAACTTACAGAGGCCATGCCTCAAAATAAAATAAAAAGGGGGGCTGAAAATGCAGCTCAGTGGTAGAGCACCCCTGGGTTCAATCCCCAGTACCACAAAAAAATTATTTATTTGTATGTGTGTATGTATATGATTTTGCTCCATTCTGACAAGTGAACATTTTTCAACATATCTTAAGATAGTTTTCTGTACTGCAAAGTCTTATTTAATTAGCCCCTGAGATATCAGCAAAGGGCTTTCTACATTTTATAGATTGTGTAGTCTCACTGTGATTTATATGCTGCACTATTAGGACATTCTGACAGCATTTCCCATACTCATTTGTACAGCTCTGAACTGTGGTAATAAATGGTAAATATAAAGAGCAAGTGAAGGACCGTCTGCATACTTTATACTCAAACAGCTCTCCACCAGGGTGAATTCTTATATAGATATAAAGATTTATGCAATAATAAAGCTACACCATAATCCTTACATGGATTTTTGTCCAGTGTGAAATGTCATGATTATTATGCCATGCTGAAATATTTAAAAGTTATAATACATACCCAGATTATATTTACAGTAATTTCAGATGTGTAAAAACCCCAGTAAGCCTTGTAGAATTAGTAAGCTTCACATATGCCTTTCAAGCAGAGGTCTAAAAATGTAATGACATGTGCAAAGTCATCGATTCAATTCTCAACACACACACAAAAAAATATTATTTCAATTTAGAAAAATTGTAATCAAAGCTCTTTTAAAGGAACTTGTCTACTCTAAGTGACTAAATGTTTGTAAGGTCACATGTCTTACTTTCATAAGAAACTTCTTTATGTAGGGTCTATTGGAGTCAGAAGTACATGTTAAGAACAGATAAAGGAGTAAAGGCTTTTTCAAATATCTCACATTCATAGAACTTCTTTCCTGTGTGACTTCTTAAATGTTTTCAAAGGGTTGAAAACTGAATGAAGACTTTCCCACATTTCCTTGTCCCAAGGTTTCTCTGCATATGGGTTTGTACATGAATACCATCATTTGTGGGAATTATCTAAAGTGTTTTCTGCATGTTTTACTGTATTAGTTTTCCATGGTTGTCATAACAAAATAGCATAGACAGAGTGACTTAAACAAGACAAATTTATTGGCATTTATTTGTGGAGACTGAAAGTTCAATATCAAGGCATGGGCAGGTTGGTTTCCTCTGGAGTCCCTAACAGAAGGTCATGTTCCAGATCTCTGTCCTGGATTTGCAGAAGGCCAGCTATCTTTCTAGTGACTTTGCATGGTCTTCTGGGAGTAAAGGTGTCCTTTCTCTTATAGGGACATCAATGATGTTGTACTGGGCACCTCATTTTTTTTCCAAACTCATTTAAAATTACCTAACGTCCTCATACAGTTACATTATGAGGAACTAGGAATTAAGACTTTAAAATATGAATCTGGAAAAGGGGGAACCATAACATTTAATCATAAACATTCTCACCAGTGTGAGTTCCCATGAGCATATAAAGGTTTGTGGAATTAAGGAAAGATTAACCAGATTCTCTACATTCAAAAAGTTTTTCTCCAGTCAGATTACTGATGTGTAAGGTAAATGTTTATAGAGTTTAGCAAAATCTCTTCCACAATCCCAGCTGACATAGGGGCTGGCTTCACCGTGAACCTTTATGTAGGGCATGTCACATCAGAGAAATAGAAACCTATGATGGAGAAAAGGAAACCTAACTTGCAGACTGATGCTCACTTCCTGGTCTTGGGGCCGCACATGGCTAAGATGGCACCTGGTGATCAGCCAGAAGGCATTACCGTGGGTTGTGATGAAAAATCAGGGGCTGGGGATGTGGCTCAAGCGGTAGCGCGCTCGCCTGGCATGCGTGCGGCCCGGGTTCGATCCTCAGCACCACATACCAACAAAGATGTTGTGTCTGCCGAGAACTAAGAAATAAATATCAAAAATTTTCTCTCTCCTCTCTCTCTCTCTTAAAAAAAATAAATAAATCTATAAAAAAAGAATTCTACTATAAACATGAATAGACAAATATTTCTAAAAAAGAAAAAAAAGAAAAATCAGACCACCTCTAGGATAGACTCAGAACCCTTCTGCCCTCGTGGACAGCTCGAGTCTCCCCTTACTGACTGTAGAATGGGTGAACACGTGAACTCTCCTCACCCTCCTGACCTTTATCCTGATTGGCTCTTGTATCTTATATTAGCTGTATGTGCTTCCTCAATAAATGAGCTCCAGCCTTGACTGGTCTCCCTGATGTCTCTGATAGTTCTCCAGTGAGGGAGGGCTGGGTGCGGGCGGTCAGTCGACCCTCTCCTTTCTTGGCTTGTCCTGGCTGGGGCATGTTCTCCCTATTTCTCCTGCAGGTCGGAGGGAACGAGGACTAAAATCCCTGACATCTGGCACCCGGATAGGGACAAGAAGAAGTGGGTTCACCAAAAGTGAAAGTATCGGCTAGCCAAGCCAAGCGAGTTCCAAGGTAAGGGTCTCCCTGAAGAGATGGGGCAATCTCATACTAAGCATGATGCTCTGGCTCTTAAAGCACTGAGATTCATGCTTAAAAGCCAAGGTTTAGAGATCTCTGATGCCCAGGCCAAAAAGGCCTGGGAAACCTTGACACACCCTGCGCCCTGGTTGGTGGCTGCCAATCTTTTTGATTGGGCCACCTGGGACCACACAGAACAATTGGTGAGGAAGAGGGAGATTAACCTGGGAGAAGACCCCCCTCTGGAGGTCTACCCGACCCTATCTGCCCTCAAGTCCTGTTTCTCCCCTGGCTCCTCAGAAGGAACATCTAGGGGAGGCAAAGACCCTTTTAAGACACCTAGTCCTCCTACCACTCCCTCAAAGAGTGACTCGGCTTGGGAAACCCTTGTTGAGGAGCGATTTGGGTCACGGTGAGTCCCTCTTGCTGCCCAGGAGGAGAAAGGCTTAAAGCCTCACTCTGACAATGGCCTCCTAGACCTTTTTGATCCTTGGCCTGGTCCTCTGAGTTCCACACCAAGTGCCCCTGTCCTGAAAACACATGGTAGACAGTTGGGATGGGGAGCGGCCTCCACCACTTTGTCACCCCTCCCACCGTGGAAATTCTCCACCATCTTGTGCAAACCCGGAAAAGCCAGTTAAGCTGCCATCTTGTAAGACCAACAATGACTTATCCCCATCATGTATGGCTTTCCCTGTAAATGCTAACCCTGGGGGCAATAGACCAGCCTTATGGTATCCCTGGAAGGCCCAAGATTTTAAAGAACTCAAAAAGGCCATCTCCGAGGATGGACCTAATTCACCCTGGGCCGAAACCATCCACCAGGGTCTGGCCCACCAACAGTGTACCAAGACTGGAAAAACTTAACCAAGGCTGTGCTTCCTGGTCCCCTGTACCTGAAATGGTGTGCTTTTTTTAATGAGGAGTGCCATGCTCAGGCTGAGAGGAATCAGGCTGTTAATCCCCCGGTTCCTGTAACTTATGGGATGCTGTTGGGGTCCAGTAATCAATTTTCCACAGGCCTCCAGCAGACTGCTATCCCTGCCCCCTACCAGGAGCAGGTATGGGCTTTAGGACTTGCGGCATGGAAGAAGTTGGAGGAAGACCCCTCAGAGCCCCTGGTAGCAGGAATTACTCAGAGGGCTACCAAGGATCTTGCCACCTTCATCAAGAGGGTGGAAAAGAGCCTCCAAAGGAAATTCCCCCCCAGGGCCCCTTCGGAACCAGTTTGTCAAGATGCTGGTCTGGGAGGGGATGACCACAGACCACAAACTAGCCTGTGCAGGGATGAAGGACAGATCTATGGGGAGGTGGATAGTGGCCACTAAGGATGTTGGTACTCAGGCCCACCAATCACAGTCATTGGTGGTGGTCTTGCAGGCCCAAACAGCTTCGCTTACTGAGGCCCTTACTACCACCCTTGCCTCTTCCAGTGGCACTGGGAAAGGGGTTTTTTATGGGTGTGATCAACAGGGCCACTTCAAGAGAGAGTGCCCTACAGGCCGAATAAGACCTGGTGCCCCGCAGGGACTTCCCTCAGGCCCGGATGAGGGGCAAACTCCACCTAAGATGCCTTGCCCCTGGTGTAGAAAGGGATTCCATTGGTGGAAGGATTGTAAGTCCAAATTTGATATTGAGAGGAAGCCTTTAAACTAATAATGGGGGACCCTCCAGCCCCATCACCCAAAGGAGGCACCCTGCCTAGTGACCCACCTAGGGCCCACTGGACAGTCCCAATAATCCCGGGAATTAGGCCAAAAATGGATATCTTCATAGCAGGGAAAAAATTCCGCTGCTTGATTGACACTGGAGTGGATTGGACAGTATTAAGGAAAGAGGAGGTTCCCCCACTATGGAAGCTGATTCCCGGACCTCAGATATTGGGGGTGGGGGGTGATACAAGGTCTGAAGAAACCAAGGATTGGCTTACTTGGAAGGATGTAGATGGTAATCAGCGAGAGGTACGCCCTCTGGTGGCATCTGGCCTGACAGCTAATCTGCTGGGACAGGATATTTTGGGGGAAGCTGAGGTGTTCATCACCACAGATCACAAAGGAATATATGACGATATCCTAGAGGAAGAGGAGTATCAGCAACAGTTTGTCCTATCAGGTCCCCTTAGCAATTACCAGGGGGGGAATCCACTTTTTGAGACATCGAGGCCGAACACTCCTGCACCCCATGTGAGGCCTCACCCCAATCCTAGTGGCCACTGTTCCTACCGTCCCCACCATTCAATGGCTTCTGGGCCCTCCAGTGTGGGTGGAACAGTGACCGCTTCCCCTAAACTACAAAAGTTAAAAGAGATAATGAACTACTGACCCTAGGGCATATTAGGCCCTCCCTGAGCCCTTGGAATAGTCCTGTATTTGTCATACAAAAGGCCACACAGGGAAATGGAGAATGTTACAGGACCTAAGAAAGATTAATGAGCGGATGATTCCCATTGGTACCCCCTTGCAAGGGCTACCTGGATCCCCTGCATCCCTCAGGATTTGACTCTCATTGTGATTGATATCAAGGATTGCTTCTTTTCTATTCCCCTTGATCTCCAGGACTGTGAGAAGTTTGCCTTCTCCGTTCCCTCTGTTAACTTCCAGGGGCCAGACCAAAGATATGAGTGGGTGGGTTTACCCCAGGGCATGGCTAACAGTCCAGCTTTTTGTCAACATTGTTTCACAAGTCCTGCAACCCCTTCGGAGGCAATCGGACATAATTCTATATGTTTACATGGATGACATCATTATTGGGACGGCGGACACCAAAGCATTAAGCTCCACCTATAAGGAACTCCAGACTCTCTTACAGAAGGGAGGATTACATATATCTAATGACAAGGTCCAGACCTTACCCCCTTTTAAAACTCTAGGGGCCAAACTTAGGTTGGACTCTGTCTGTCCCCTTAAACCTCAATTACTTTTCCAGTTGTCCTATACCTTGGTGGAATTACAAAAACTGTTGGGCGAACTCAACTGGATAAGGCCTTGGCTTCACCTGCCTACACAAGACCTGCTTCCGCTTTTTGACTCTTTAAGAGATAAAGTCCCCACAGATGTCATCACAATGACTCCATCACATCAATTGATATTCCAAAAGATTCAGTCAGCCTTAAATTTGGCCCAGTTGGCTCGCTATAGGCCCCAATGCCCCCTGTCTTTGGATCCTCCCCAGCTCAGAGCTTTCTTCGGCCACCATTACCCAGTTAGGCAAGCCTCTTCAATGGATACATGTGTCTGTGGGAGGGGCCCCAAGGGTCTATTCCCAACTTGACCTGGCTGACCTGATAGTTAAGGGTATGGATATTTCCCTGAGACATTATGGGCAGGATCCTGATGTGCTAATAATTCCCTACCAATTGTCGGACTTTTAGTGGGTCAGAAGAAACCATTGTCGGGTACCCAATGCCTTGGAGGGTTTCATGGGAAAGGTGGATTGTCATTATGGTACTTTGAGATGGGTGACATCATTCTCGAGGTTACAATGGATCCCCCCTATACTTTTTTTCACCAGACTCCTCACTAAAGCAGTAAATGTCTTTACTGATGGAGGAAAAGCGGAATTTGCCACAGTGGTGTACTCCGCCTCTTCCCCTGCCAATGAAGGGGAAAGTACCCACTATTTTGAGCCAGTTACAGGATCTGCACAATTTAAGGAACTATATGCAGTTGCCCTGCCTTAACCCATGTCCATGGACCAATGAACTTATTTTCTGACAGCCTATATGTAGTCAACTTGTTACCAACTCTAGTGTCAGCGTATATTAAGTTGGACAAAAACCCAATTGATTCAAGTCCGATCCTTCTGCAGCATCTCAGGGGACATCAGGAGTTACCTGGAATCTTGACATGGGGGAACCAAATGGCTGATCGATTGGCTACCAATGGGACTAACATAGCTACTGCTCAGTCTCAACAGAACCTTCAGATGGCTCAAGGACTTCATGAACTTATTCTGGAGAGGGTTACATCAGAGATTCCCCCTGATTCTCATAAAAGATTTTAAAAAGATCATAAGGACATGTAAATCATATATGCCGTTTTTACAGTTCTCACCTCTTCAATCCCACTGGGGTCAACCCCAGGGGCCTCAGACCTAATGTCATCTGGCAAACTTATGTGACCCACTATGCACCTTTTGGAAAATTAAAAAATATATATGTCTACAGATACCTATTCACATGCTTGTTGAGCAACTGCTCATTTGGGCGAAAAAGCTCAACACGTTGAAAGCCATTTCCTACAATGTTTTGCCATTTTGGTATTACCCTTACAATGGGCCATGCTTTGTGAGCAAATCACTACAAGAATTCTTCCAAACTTGGAATATTAAACACACCACTGGAATACCATACAATCCAAAAGGTCAAGCTATAATTGAGAGGCATAATAAGACCTAAAAGGACCAACCAATAAAACAAAAAGGGGGAAAACAACCCCCATGACCAATTAAGGACAGCCATGCCTACATTAAATATTTTATTTGCTAAGATTTGCCCTGTGACATAATATGTGGTCTATTTTTGAGAAAAGATCCATGTGCTGCTGAGTTAAAAAGTGTATCCGCTTGATGTTGGGTGGCATATTCTATATATGTCAATTAAGTCTAAGTTATTAATTGTATTATGAGCTCTATAGTTTCTTTATTCAACTTTTGTTTGGAAGATCTGTCCAGTGGTGAGAGAGGTTAAAATCTCCCATGATTATAGTGTTGTGGTCTAACTGACTCTTGAACTTGAGAGGAGTTTTTTTGATGAACGTAGCTGCACCATTGTTTGGGGCATATATTAATGATTGTTAAGTATTATTGGTGTATGATTCCCTTTAGCAGTATGTAGTGTCCTCTTTTATCCCTTTTGATTAACTTTGGCTTGAAGTCTTATTTGATATGAGTATAGACACCCCTGCTTGCTTCTGAGGTCCATGTGAATGGTATCATTTTTCCCAACCTTTCACCTTCAGTCTGTGTATGTCTTTTCCTATAAGATGAGTCTCCTGTAGGCAGCATATTGTTGGATCTTTTTTTTTAATCCAGTCTATTAGCCTATGTCTTTTGATTGGTGCGTTTAAGCCATTAACATTTAGGGTTGCTATTGAGATATGGTTTGTCTTCCAGCCATATTTGTTTATGTTACTTAACATGATTTGTTTTTCCTCTTTGATTAGTTTTTCCTTTACTACCTCCCGCTGTTGGTTTTCATTGTTATTTTTCATTTCCTCTTCCTGTAATGTTTTGCCAAGGATGTTTTGTAATACTGGTTTTCTAGCTGCAAATTCTTTTAACTTTTGTTTATCGTGGCAGAAGATTTGTATTTCATCTTCAATCCTGAAGCTTAATTTCACTGGATACATGATTCTTGGCTGGAACCCATTTTCTTTCAGTGTTTGAAATATGTTGTTCCAGGATCTTCTAGCTTTCAGAGTCTGTGTTGAAAGATCAGCCATTATTCTGATTGGTTTTGAAAGAACGATCAAGGCTTGCCATCAGAGAAAATGCCTGTTTATTGAGGAACAGCTCTGCATATTTATAGAGCCGGGGGTGGTTTGACAGTTATGACAGTTTAATTGTTGAAGGGTTTGACAGTGCTTTTTGATTGGAGGGTAAGGATCATGTGAGCCAGCAGGGCTCACCATTGGACGGCAGGATCATGTGAGCCAGCAGGGATAGTCTGATTGGTGGGTAAGGATCATGTGAGCCAGCAGGGCTCACCATTGGACGGCTCTTCTTGGGGGATGGGGAAGTTAGTCTTTGGAGTCGGGGCAACTCCCAACAGGTTTACCCCTAAATATAATCTGCTTCCTTTCTCTTGTGGCTTTTAAGATTCTCTCATCTAATGAAGATGTTGGGCATCTTCATTATAATGTGTCTTGCTGTGGATCTCTTATGATTTTGCACATTCGGCATCCTGTAGGCTTCTAGGATTTGGATATGTTTCATTCTTCAAGTTTGGGAAGTTTTCTAGTATTATTTCATTGAATAGATTGCTCATTCCTTTGGTTTGGACCTCTATATCCTCCTGTATCCCAATGAGTCTTAAGTTTGGTCTCTTTATGTTATCCCATATCTCTTGGATGTTCTGCTTATGGTTTATTAACATTCTCGCTGAGCTGTCTATATTCTTTTCAAGTTGAAATACTTTGTCTTCGTTGTCTGATGTTCTATCTACTAAGTGTTCTACTCTGCTGGTAATACTCTCATTTGAGTTTTTAATTTGGTTTATTGTTTCCTTCATTTCCAGGATTTCTGTTTGTTTTTTTTTAATAACCTCTATCTCCCTGTAGAGTTGATCTTTTGCTTCTTGGATTTGTTTATGTAATTCATTATCAAAGTGATCTTTCATTGTCTGATTTTGCTGTTTAATGTCTTCCTTTAGACTCCAGATCATCTGAGACATGTATATCATGAACTCTTTATCTAACATTCCATCTGCTGCAGATATTACCTCTTCTAATGTTGAAGTGACCTGCATTGTTTGTGGTCCTTTCTTTTCTTGTCTTTTCATACTGCTCATGTTTCTTTCCAGCTTTGTGAAACTATTGTGTTAATGATTTTCCCCTTATATATTTATATTGCTCTTGTATAGCTCCAAAAACTCTCTTTTGTGTAGAAAGACAATGTTAACAGTTCCCAATATCAATAGTACATCATCTAAGCACAAATTTTCATTATTAATACATTTATAGTTAGACTCAGTCTATGGATGTTGGCTTCAATTATTACTTAAAAATATAGTAATTAGTTTCATAAAAGACATACCATTTCTGGTGGCATATAGAAAACTGAATTTCAGACATAGGGTGTTATGCTTAGGAGGAAAGGAGTGAGGGTATGAGGTTAATCTAACTTAGCAACTTTGGAGAACTCTAACCAATAGACTGGTAATTTATGGAAGAATGTATAGATTCAACCTCCTATCTGTATTTAGAAAGTTACCCTACATATAGATAGTAAAAGTTAGGGGGTTGAAAGTGGGATGGAGGAAGTAAGAATGAATAAAAAATAACAAGGAAGAAAAGAGAGGGAAAAAGAAAATAAGAAAAAAGGGGGGAGTTGGGGCATATGCAATTCCCACCATCATTGCACTCAAAGGGTTTATCTTGAGTGCATATTTTCTGGTAAACAGCTTTTGGAGGCAAGCTGAAAGTTTGCCTACAATGATTCAAAAAAAGTTTCTTTTCAGGAGAGGTTCTCTTGTGCAAAGGAAAGAAGTCTATTCTACCTTGATCACAATAAGAAGTGGTCCCTGTATTTTGCATTCTCATGTGTGAGGTAAGGCAAGTACGTCCACTGATGAATTCTCCACATGGCTTACATCACAGAGCTCCCCTCCATTGTGCCTTCTTGCCTGTTCATAAAGGGATGAATAATGGTTAAAGTATTTTTCAGACTCATTAATAGATTACATGCACCTGAAGACTGAAAATTGTGATGATCTCCATTTCTGCAATTTTCATTATTTGCATACAGTTTCTGCCTCTCCCCCCCCTTTTCTTTTTTAAGAGACAGATTTTGTGTTGTACAGGCTGGCTTTTAATGTTGGGTTCAAGTGGTCTTCTGCCTGAGCTTCCTCAGTAGCTGAAACTATAAGTGAACACCACTTCTGGCTTATTGATTTATTTTTATTTTCTTTTTCCTCTCCACCTCCCCATGGTATTGGGAATTAAACCTGTGCTCTACCACTGAGCTATATTCCCAACCCTTCTTTTTTTTTTTTTTTTGAATTTTTAATATTTATTTTTTAGTATTTGGCGGACACAACATCTTTGTTGGTATGTGGTGCTGAGGATCGAACCTGGGCCGCACGCATGCCAGGCGAGCGCGCTACCGCTTGAGCCACATCCCCAGCCCTCCCAACCCTTCTTATTCTTTCAGACAGAATCTTACTAAATTTCCAAGGCTGACCTCAAACTTGTGATCCTCCTCCTTGGTCTTTTGCTGGGATTACTTTGCCAGAATACTCTGCCATCTATTCTAAACTTGAAAAGACCTCTACAGTTTAGTGACAACCTTTTAAAAACTATCTAGTTACATATCTGGAAATGTGTACTTGTGGGAACTTGGGAGCAACAAGTTTCAAGTTAGGTTTGGGGCACCCCCAAATTCATATTCCTGTTTTGCCTCTAGAGCCATTGCTCCTTCTTAGGTCAATGCTACTTCTCTCAAATCTCTCTTGTTCTGATTTTCTATAATGGAATTCCCAATCTTCTTTAAATATAGAAAATTAGAAATACCCCCTTGTTAGTCTTACCCTAAGTATCTCACTGGAGATCTATTCCCTCAAAAAATTCTGCTGAAGTGAAGCCCCTTTGATTTTAAGTCCCATTTTCCATTCTAAAGTAAGAGAAAAATAAATATAAGGGTCTGGAGACAGAAATGATAGATAGGAGGTGAAAATGGTAGAGATCATTTGCACGTATTTCCAAATTAAACATAATAAAGCAAAAAAAAGATTTCACAATTTTCACTATGTCAAAAATCTGGCAAAGATAGGCATCAAAATTTTATATGATTTATTACCAATTGATCCTATGAAAGTTAACATTGGTGGTGAACACAAAGAACATTTATCTTGGAAGGGGACAAACATAAAGAAGTGTACATCAAAACAATGAAGAAATGCAACAGGTTATATTGTGAGATTATAGAAAAGTCTAAATTGGCAGAGAGTAAAAGAGTATAGAAGGTTGAAGATTTCCTAACTTCTGATAAAAATGCTCTGATGCTTCTGAGATCAAGTGCATCTTTAAAAGTTTCTTCTTTATACTTATAGTGAATTTACTGACCAGGAGTATTGTCCATGAACACTCACCTTGGAGAACCCCTCCTTCCACTATCTTTGACTCTTCTTGCTCCAACCAAGAGATCAGGCTGGGTTTGAGGAGCTGAAATTCTGTACCTAGGGAAAAACATATTCATGGAAAAAGCTAATGGAAGAGATGATAAACCTTCTCATGATTCAGGAACCACAGCTCTAATGAAAGCAGTGAAGTTATTTCAAAAAGGATAAAAATACAAATATCTTCTCTGCCTGTGTCCCATAAAAATTAGTTGTTTCTGACCCCTAAAATTCCAAATTCAGGCTTATGTTCACATTTACAAAGCACTAAGACCTTCTTCTTCTTTTTTTTTTTTTAATCCAAGTAGGAAATAGAGTGAAACAGTGATCTTCATTCTCATAGGGAATGAAAATCACACCTGATTAGTTTTGTTTTGTTTTGTTTTGCAGTAGTAGGGATGGAACTCAGGGCCTTGTGCATGCTAGGCTAGCACTCTACCGCTGAGCCACACTCCCAGGTAGTACACCTGTGATCCTTAAATCTTACAGCATGTAAGAGTCACCTGGAGAATTTCTTCAACACATATAACAGGGCCCTAACTGTGTTTCTGCGTATATGAAAGGTGGAAACTGAGGTAATGTATGTTAGGCCACATTTTGAGAACCACCACACAGATTAAAAGCTATTATGATAAAGGCTGTGTCTCTATTATTTTCTACTATATTCAGAGTTGACTTCATTGATACTGCAACACAGTAAATACATACAAAATTTATTTTCTAGGAGGCTACACAGAATTATGGTAGTCCTACCTACTATGGTCAGGTTCTCATAGTTCTCCAGCATCACATCTTTGTACAGGTTTCTCTGAGTTGGGTCCAGTAAAATCCACTCCTCCTGGGTGAAGTGCACAGCCACATCATCAAAGGTCACCAAGTCCTAAACCATCACACACATGCTGGTTTGAGCCAAGTAACACATCCACCAATGGCCACTGGAAAATGAGGAAATGAGACCAAAGCCTAAAAAGAGTTCTGAGGTCTCTCACTGTCTACCCCAGGGTTCAATGATGCTAGGAATTCTTCTCTCTATGCACACTCACTCACTGTCCATCTCCTCTAGTTATATCGCTTGAATGGCACTTCTTATATGTGATCTCTCAACACAAGAGTAGGTGCTCATCTTATTTCCCTCTACTGTAGCACACTCTTGAGTACCATGTAAATACTAGATAAAGAACACTTTCATCTCGCTTATCATTGTCAGAGCACTCAGCAAAATATGAAACATGTAGTCAGCACCATAAGGGAACATTAATTAGTAACACATGAAATACTAGTCTTCCTAGTATTTCATGTGATTTCATAAAATACTAGGGTGATTTCATGCCAATAAGTGGCTCTACTCCCTGGGGAAATTCAACTAGGGACTTAAGTCATTGAGCAGTGCTTTATTTGCTTTAAGAAGTTCTGGAAGTCAGGCATGGTGGTATATACCTGTGGTCTCAATTACTCAGGAGGCTGAAATGTTAGAATTGCTCAAGCCCAGATGCTTGAGATCAGCTTAGACAACATGTCACACAAAAAAAAATTCCAGAGGGAGAAACACCTCTCAGAACCCACCTCAAAAAATAAGAAGTTCTGAAGATGATTATGAGTAGAAGAAAACATGTCACCTTGTTAGCCGCATGTTCAAGATTTTGTACAAGGATACATGCTCTGCATACCTGATCACAGTTTGGCAGGCAGACAATCATCTTCCTTTCTGCTTCTGTCTTTCCTTCATGAAGGCAAACTGGATCCCTCTACAAAAGACCTCAGGGAAAAGAAATAAGGTATGTGTTGTGGTTTGCATATGAGGTATCCCCTGAGAGGCTCATGTGTTAGGTAATTATGGCAATGTTCAAGGGTGAAATTATCAGATTATGTAAGCTCTAACCTCATCCATGGATTAATTCATTTGATGGATTAATCCATTTGATGGATTAATAATTTAAATAAACAATTAGGTATAGCTGTAAGCAGGTGGAGCATGGACAGAGGAAATAGGTGTCTTGAAGGTGAGGGGCATGCCCATGGGGATTACAGCTTGTCCCAAGCTCCCTGCACACTCTCTGCTTCCTGGTTGCCATGAGCTAAGCCACTTTCTCCACCACACTCTTTGACCATGGAGTCCTGTCATATCTTGCACCCACAGCAATGCAGTCAGCCAGCCAACCATGGACTAACTCTGAAACCGTGAGCCCAAAATAAACTTTTCTTCCTCTAAATTGTTCCTGCTAGGTATTTTGATTATAGCAATGAAAAGCTAACACTGCATGAGAACTCAGAGCTGCCCATAATTCCCACAATTTACATGTCTAGAAGTCATTCCATCCTAGTTTGAAATTTCCACGTAACCCTGCACACTCGACATTAAGTACACACTACTCCTGTGTGAGGCCAGCAGTCTGCCTCACATAGAGCCAGAAAAGGAGACCATATGCCAGGCTGCCCAAACATGAAAAGGATAGTAGTCTCATTATACATAAGGAAAGCTATAGCCTTGAGAGATGTGACTATTTGCCCATAGCAATAAAACTCATGAAAGAGTGGGAGGAGGGGAGCGAGGGGGGGAAGTGCTGGGGAGTGATACTGGCCAAATTGTATTGTTATATTGTGTGCATGCACTAAGATGTAAGAACAAATCCCACCATTATGTACAACTATAATGCACCAATTAAAAATAAATCATGGGACTGGGGCAGTAGAGCCCTTGCCTAGCACATGCAAGGCTCTGGGTTCAATCCTCAGCACCACATAAAAATAAATAAATAAAAGAAAGGTATTGTGTCCAACTACAACTGAAAAATAAATATATATTTTTTAAAATCATGAAGAAGCTTCTACAGCATTTCTTCCCAGAATATATACACCAGTGGAGGTTGACTGAAAACATAGGATTCCCTGGTCCACTACATTTCCTGTGAGAGCACTGGACTCCATACAGAGAGAACCTGAAGGAGAGTCTGTGAACAAGATCATCAGTAGGACTTACCATGGGACAAATCAATGGCTGCCATCTTGTGACACTGGTGGTATTATGTGCCTGAATGATTCTTTCCTTGATTCAGAGAACACTGCAGGACAGCTATGAAGCTACACCAACAGTGGCCATCTTCACTCCTCTTTATTCAGGGTTAACTTAGTCCTCTTCACATCATCATCAATCAACAAATATTAATTATTAATAATTAAACATTAGCTCTCTTTGCAGATGGCATATGTGAAAGACTGAAAAAAATTCTATTACAATAGTATTAGTAACATCAATTGCTATTTATTAAGGACTAAACCTCAGAAGTTATAATAGCAGCTTTATGTATATAAGGTCACTTACCATTGGGCTGGGGTTGTGCTTCAGTAGTAGAGCACTCACCTAGCATAGTGAGGCACCGGGTTCGATCCTCAGCACTGCATAAAAAGAAATCAATAAAATAAAGGTATTGTGTCCATCTACAACTTAAAAAAAATTTTTTAAAGACGATCACTTATCATTAACAATCCTGTAGATATTATTACCTTCCCCAATTTTGGTACTGAGGATTGAACCCAGGAGCACTCTTAGTGGTAGATGCAAAAACTCTTTCCTTTGGAGAGTTTTTGCATCTACCACTAAGCCACACCCCAAGCCCTTTTAACTTTAAATTTTATTTTGAGACAGGGTCTTGCTAAATTGCCCATACTGTCCTTGGACTTGCAATCGTCCTGCCTTTGCCTCCCAAATTGCTGGGATGACAGGTATGTGCCACTGTATCTGGACTTATCATCTCTATTGAATGCTGAAAAACTTAGATTTAGAGAATGCTGGTAATGTCCAGTATTATCCAGTTAGGAAGTAGTGAATGAGTACTTGAATGCAATTACATTTGTCTCTGAAACCAGATCTACTACAGCTGTTGTTAGAGGTTGAGTATTCCTTATCTAAATATCTGGAGCCAGAAGTATTTCAGATTTCAGAATTGTGGGGGGCTGGGTTCATCCATATGCTCACAAAGTTTTGGATTTCAGGTTTTTGAATTAGGAATGCTCAACATGTATTCTCAACATAACCAGAAGTCAGTTTAGACATGTCCTTGTGAAACAATGATCACTAGTCACATGTGTCACTACTGACCACTTCATATGAAACTAAGACTAAAGAACTGTATTTTAAATTTTCATTTAATTTTAATAAAAATAACAATCATGAGTAAGTCAAGCACAGAATATTAACCCATATACTGACTTATGTGGTATTCAAATGATGACAAATAATGAAGTTCGCATAGTTCATTATCTAAGAACCAAATTCAACCTCAGAAAAATTATCCAAAGCTTGTTCTATAAGCCAGGAAACCCTGAAATGACACTGGATTACAAGGACCACCTACCCAGATTCCTAGTATAAACTGTACCAACCACCACAAGTCTCGACCTGGAGATCCTTAGGCTAAACAGGCCCAAATATGTGTATCTGGTGGCATTCCAAAGAATAGTTGACCTTTTAAAAATTGAGATTAATATATAGGCAAACACACATTCAGTGGGTGAACTTTGACCACTACATACATTTGAGTAATCAAAAGCCTACAAGATACGCAACATGTTCATCTCCCTAGAAGACCCTCTTGCCCCTTCCAATCCATTCTCACACATCATCTCCTGTGCTCTCAGTTTCTGCATGCTGTATACATCCTGTATATGTACAGTAGGTGCTGTGCTCATCTATCTCAAATGTACATCCTGACATTTCTCTATTGTTTAAAGAAACAATTTGGGAGAAAATATTAAAATCTCCCACTGGAAAGATGTTCATGTCTATTTCTTATGTCTGCAAAGAACTTTGATATATCTTGTAATAAAATTATTGGGTGGATACACATTGAACTTTAATATTTTTGAGGGAAAAAATCTAGCATCAAAATGAACTCTATTTCTCTAAGAATGTTACTGGATGATGTCATGTGACATAGAAATCACCTTTCCTTTGGAGAGTTTTTGCATCTCATAGTACAGCACTGTATCCCTTTTGGACACCAATGTCCCCCTTGACCTGGCATAGCACCTAAGTCATGCAAGGCATCCAGTAACTGTTGGACAAACAACTGAGATCCTTCTCAACACTGCTAAAGTATACCTAGATTATAAGGGCAGCAGGTGTAGCTCAAAGGTAGAGAACTGGCTTAGCATATGAGAGGCCCTGGGTTCTATCCCCTAGATTATAGCTAAATAACTGTCAATGACAATGTAAATCTCAGTTTTCAGGAAATGTATTAAATTACTCAAAAGTGCAAGGGTAGAAAGTGCGAATGGTAGGAACACAGACATTGTGTCCTGTGCCCTCACGTATCAGTCCCAGCTCATCTAACATTCCCATGACCTCCTGATGTGCCCCCGCACCCTGATTCCCTCGGTTGGTCTGCGAGTCCAACAGCCAGGGCTTGTGTGCATCACAGAGGGCTGCTGCCTACCTTGGCCCAGGCAAGCCACCAAACTTCACCTGCCAGTGGGCTGCAATGACACCATTTCCAGCATTGTGGAAAAGGCTCCTTACCAGTATGGCCATCTTTAGAAACTCGAGGATATATGTTATTAGAGTTCATTTTATATCTCCTAATAAATCAAGGTGACATTTTTTGTCTCCTCACAGGACCCTCCTCCTACAGAAATGATACAATGTTGCCAAAGACGGACATCCAATGATCAGAATTTGGAAGTGGTCAGTCTTCTTCATTTCTCTTCCCTCTCTCCCTTACTCTCCCTCTGTGCCTGTCTGTCTCTCTTTCTTTCTGGTACTAGGGATTTAACCCAGGGGTGCTTTGTACTTTACCACTGAGCTGTATCCCCTGCCATTTTTTAGTTTTTGAGGCAGGATCTCACTAAGTGGCTTAGTGCCTCTCTATATTCCTGAGGTTGACCTTGGACTTTAAATCCTCCTGCCTCAGCCTCCCAAGTCACTGCGATTACAGATGTGCACCACCATATCTGGTTAGGGCTGGGTTTCTTTCTTTTTTTCATCATAGATGGATTCAATACCTTTAGTTTATTTATTTATTTTTATGTGGTGCTGAGGATCAAACCCAGTACCTCACACGTGCTAGGCAAGGGCTCTACCACTGAGCTTCAACCCCAGCCCTAGAGCTGGTTTCTTAAAACAGAAAAAGCATTTGGCAGAGCCAGGCATGGTGGCACATGCCTGTAATCCCAGCAGTTTGGGAGGCTGAAACAGGAGGATTACAAGTTTAAAGACAGCCTCAACAAAAGCGAGGCACTAAGCAACTCAGTGAAACCCTTCTCGAAATAAGTTACAAAATTTTAAAAATAAATAAATAAATAAGTTACAAAATAGGGCCAGGGATGTGGCTCAGTGGTTGAGTGTCCCTGAGCTTAATCCCCAGTACCGCCCAAAAAAGCATTTGGCAGGATCATACCAAGATACTGTCTGTGGTAGACTGTGAGAAAGAACTTGCCTTAGAAATCCAAGTAAATAGCCAGGTGCAGTGGTGCATGCCTGTAATCCCAACAACTCAGGAGGCTGAGGCAAAAAGATGGCAAGTTTAAAGCCTGTCTCAGCAACTTAGAGAGCCCCTGTCTCAAATTAAAAAAAAAAAAAAAAAAAAAAAGGGCTTGGCATGTGGCTCAGTGGTTAAACACCCCTGGTACTAAAAAACAAACAAACAAAGCCAGGCAGAATGGCTCAGGCCTATAATCCCATGGCTCTGGAGGCTGAGATAGGAGGATCGCAAGCTTGAGGCCAGCCTCAGCAACTTAGTGAGGCTCTAAGCAACTTAATGAGACCCTGTCTCAAGATAAAAAAGTTAAAAAGTATAAAAGGCTGGAGATATGACTCAGTGATAAAGCACCTCTAGGTTTAATCCCCAATATCAAGAGGAAAAAAAAAAGAAGTTCTCCAAGTAAATGCTATCCTTAACCATTACAGAACTAACTACATAATTACAAGATTTTGTGGTAAGAGATGGATTCCTCTGAGCAGACTTGTGAAAATATAACAAACTCGATCTTCTGACTTGCAGTTCAATTTAAGGTCTGACAATCAAACAGCTTCCAAGACAGCTATTAAAGCTAATTTTTAGTTGCTATAAGACTGTTTATAATCATTGAAAATCAAACATAAAATTTAATTGAACAGGTTAAATTACATCCAGAGTCAATTCAGTGTCACCTAGTTTTTCAAGTGAAAATCAGAGTATAAATTACTGTTCTGTAAGTGGGGGTGGGGGAGTAAGCCTTCTTTGGGGTCTTTCGTTTGCTAACCTGTGTACTTGAATGATTTATCTAAGTAAAAGTCTCAATGCTGATAGCCAAAAAGCTGATTTGAGTCACAGTGAAAAGTCACAGCCTTTCACCCAATTTCTACACTCAGGTCACTCGCAAACCTAGGACACCTTCATGAAAAAAAATAATAATCAGAACTATCCACATGAAAAAGCTTCCCTCACGCCTCCCCCAACAGGACCTGCAGCCATTTACTACAGTAACTATGCATTAAGGAAAAAGAAATACCCTACTGGTCTTGAGGGCAGGAGGGGGGCTCTGTCCCTCTTCTCTCAGAGATGACCCCCTCACCCTCAAGTGTCCCTTTCTCCCCTTTTCTATCCCTTCTAATAAACTCATGTCTGTCTGCAACAATGAGCAACATGTTTGATATTTTTCTGGCATGAATGCAAAAGAATCCGGGTTGACAGACCCAGGTTGGCAGAAGGCCCATGCTCTGTAACACTATCGCTGCCCAAAGGAAATAGTGTCAGAGAGAAGCTGACCACACTCACGACTTGCTCAAGCTGACTGACCTACTGGGGAGAAGTGGAAAGCACTTTTAAGGCAGGGTTAGCAAAGTAGGACGGGGAGACTAGCAAGCTGATTACCCCCGGAGTCAGTGGGCAACACCTAGACAGTCACTAGACTTTCCCAACCTCACAGAGAATATGATGTCACCTCGCTTGTCATATCTACTGTCATTTGCATCAGTTGCTTTACACTCCCAACCCCAAAGAGGTCAGTTGGGACACACTAGAGAGAGAGCTGCCTAAAAATGGGGCAACAGAAACCACAAAGGGAAGCAATGCACAATATAAGGGCCATGTGGGGCTACCAAAAGTTTGTCACTTAACACCTAAGGAGAGAGGAAAAAGTATTTATCCATCCTAAAGATAAAAACCATTTAAAAGGTTTTTCTTAAAAAGGAAGAAAGGGGTAGAGGTATAGAGACTGATTATCTTAAAGTCTGGACAACCCAGAGACAATTGCCTAGAGGGCAGGGTCCCTTACCCTTTCCTCTTATCAGCCAGAGACAGAAACCAAGAACCACCACTTCTGGAAGCTCAAAGAAAAAAAAAAGAAGTGGGATGGAGGGAGTGAAGCCTTGGATATTAGGCAGCGACAACTTCAAGAGGGGAAAAAAAGAAGAGGAACTTAAGTACTGAGCAAAAGCCAGTGCCATGTAGGCCTCTGCTCTTAGATTACTGATTTAAAAAGAAAGCCAGGAGGGGGAAACAAAGGGGGGCAGAATTAGATTTGAACTGGGGATTGAACTGGTAAGTTGCCTGGGCTGACCTCAGATCTAAGATCCTCCCAAGTCACTGAGATTACAGGTGAGCACGACTGTGCCCGACTCCCTTGGCCAATATTAAAATTTCTTGACTTTATTCAGTCAATACACAGTAAATATTAGGCCTAACAGTTATAAGTTGCCCCCACCTCCAAAAGGACACAATACATGATTTGAGGACTACACAAAGGCACCATCTTTGCAAACAAGATCTTAATGTCATCTCCTTCAGCAGGAACACTGTGTGACATTGGTGATAACATTTTTCTCCAAGGAGACTCTGAGTGCATCACTCAGGAAGGACACAGAACTCCTGCATCTTCTAGTACTTTTTGAATTCTGGTGGCAACATAATCATTTAGAAATTTGGCATCCAAACTAAAATCAACAGACATTCCTGTTGGTACTTCAAGAAAAAAAACTCCTTCAGGACAGAAGTTCTGACCACCTTTTTAAATGCATCCTGAAGTTCTGAACCATGTGAGGTGGCTATTACTTCCTCCAGGGCTTCTAATTCAAGAAACTGTCCCTATTGGCCACCAGCTACTCACCAAGTAACAACATAAAACTAGCCACCTAGTGGGCTCTCCTGGAAATGACCCCCGCGAGCAGACGCGTGCACGCCCCACTCTCCACCTTCCCCCACTTCCCCTAACGGGTGTGCCCCAGGGAACCCGCCGCTCCGGGGAAACGCCGGCTCGCACTGCAGGAGGACGCCAACTTTCGCCCGGGGCTCACTGCTCGCGGCGGCCCCGAGCCCACCTCACGTCACCGCGCGCAACTCCACAGGGACCGCGGGGGAGGCGTGGGAAGAAAAGCGGGCGCCATTTCGAACGCGGCCAGAGGAAGCGCCTCGCCGCACGCCGCGCACCGGCTCCTGGCCGCACGGTCGCCGCTTCCCGAGGCCGCGGCCCTCGCACTTCCACTGCTCCGTCCAGATTCCCTCCGCCCGCCTCCCCAGAGCCACGAGAGCAACCACGACTACGCGAAAAAACGAACTGGGTTGCCCGGAGCCTACGCCGGAAGAGACCGCCGCGAGTGACGTCACTTCCGTTCCGCCCCTCTGCCCGGGGGAGTCGGTGTTAGCATAGAAAAGACTAATCAAAATTGTATACTATGTAAGGAAAAAAGATATTAAGAATTAAAAGTAGAAAGGTCTTAAGGTAATGAAGCACATAAATTCCAGACTTTAAGAATAAAAATAATGAGAAAAAAATCCATTAATAAAAAGGGGTGGGAGTACTGGGGAGTGATACTGGCCAAGGTATACTGTTATATTGTGTGCATGTACAAATATGTAACAACAAATTCCATCATTATGTACAACTATAATGAAACAATAAAAATGTGGGGAAAAGAAAAGGAAGCTGGGGTTGTGACTCAGTGGCAGAGTGTTTGCTTCTCACATGTGAGGCACTGGGTTCGATCCTCAGCACCACATAAAAATAAAGATATTGTGTCCATCTACAACTAAAAAAAATTTTTTTAAAGAAAACAAGGGATATCAATTACTTTTTTAAAGGGGGAAAAATTAAAATCATTAAGATGACTGTTGTAGGCCAGGGATGTACTTCAGTGGTATACATTTGACGACCATGCCCAAGGCCCTAGGTTCAATCCCCAGCACAACCACAAAAAAAAAAAAAAAAAAGAATTAAATCAAACTCATCAGTAATTATATGACATACAAATAGATAATATGCATTATTACCTATTTAAAAAGCACTGTTAGTGTGGGTCTTGTGGCTCAAGATCAAGGCAATGTAAGATTGAGTTGAATTCTGATCCTAATGAAGGACAACAGTGATAAAATAAGATCTAACATATAATATCCCCTGTGCACTTGAACAGAATGTATATTGTTACTTTTGGATATAGTGTTCTGTAAAGTTCAATTAAATCCATTTAATATACAGTCAAGTTCAGGTCCAATATTTTCTTATTGACTTTCACTTCAGATAGTCTATCCATTGTTGAATAGTGGGGTATTTAAGACACTACTATTGCGTGGCTACCTATTTCTCAACTTCTGTTTCTTGCTTTCTATACTGTTTTTTTGTTTGTTTGTTTGTTTTTTGTACCAGGGATTGAACTCAGGGGCAGTTGTCCATAAGCCACACCCCCAGCCCTTTCTTATACTTTATTTAGAGACAGAGTCTCATTGAGTTGCTTAGTTCCTCACTTTTGCTGAGGCTCGTTTTCAACTTGCAATCCTCCTACCTCAGCCTCCTGAGCCGCTGAGATTCCACTGCACCCAGCTCTATATTTCCTTTAGCTTTTAAATACATATATACCTAACAATTTCTTATGTTTTAGATCTGGAATGTCCCCAAATTCTCATGTTGAACACCACCCCAGCTACTGCTGTTACTGAGAGATAGTAGAAACTTGAGCAGGTGGGGCCCAGCTGGAAGAAGTAGGTAACAGGGTGTGTCCTTCAAGGTTCAATATCTTGTCCCTGACCCTTCATTTATCTCTCTCTCTCTCTCTCTCTACTTTCCAGGTGTCATGAGATGTGCAACTCTGCCCTCCACATGGCTCCTGCTATGATATTCTGCCTCACCACAGACCCACAGCAATAGGGACAACTGACCATGGACTGAAAAATCCGAAACTATAGGCCAAAATAAAACTTTCCTCCTTTAAGTAAATTTTCTCCTGTTTTTTATCACAGTGACCAAAAGCTGACTCACAACAGTTATATCCTCTTAACAAAATAGCCATTTCACCATCTATAATCTCCTTTTTTCTCATTACAGTTTTTAGCATAGTCTATTTTGACTAACACAAATACAGATACCCCATTCTCTTTTTGTTTCCATTTGCAAGCAATGTCTTTTCCCATCTCTGTACTTTCCATCTACTTATATCCTTAAAGGTAAAAGGAGTCTCTTGTAGGCACTATACAGATGTGTCTTGGATTTTGATGCAATCAGTCCCTATATCCTTTATGGGCAAATTTAGTCCATTTACATTGAGGGGAGGATACTAGGGATTGAACCCAGGGGCACTTTACTACTAAGCTACATTGATAGTCCTTTTTAGTTTTTGAGACAGGGTCTCACTAAGTTGCTGAGGATGACTTGAGATCCTCCCATCTCAGCCTCCTAAATCAACTGGGAAGAGGCACACACCACCATGCCTGGCAGTCCATTCACATTCGAAGCAGTTTTTAAAAGTTTCATGCTATGGCCAACAGGGATTTATGCCTGTAATGAAAGGGTAATTCAACATATGCAAAAATGAATAAATGTCACACTTCACATAACAAAATGAAAGGAAAAAAAAACATCAATGCAAACAAAAAAAATTTAACAAAATTCAACATCTTTCATGTTACCAGTTACCAACAAATTGGGTTTAGAATAAATGTACCTATCATAATGACGATATATAACAAGCAACGGCTACCATCATAACTAAATGACAAAAAGCTCAAAGCTTTCTTTTAAGATCAAGAACAAGAGTATCCATGCTTGCAACTTCTATTTGCCATAATACTACAAGTTCTAGCCACAGCAACTAAACAAGAAGAAATAAAATGCATTCAAGTAGGAAAGAAGGAAAATTACAAATGACATGATCTTGAATACATAAAATCCTAATAACCCATTTAAAAACTGTTAGAAATAATAAACAATTTGGGAAAGTGACAGGATACAAAATCAATACAGAAAGTCAGCAGTGGTTACTACACAATTAACAATCTGAAAAATTAAGAAAACAACTTCACTGACAACAACATCAAAAATAGTAAAATACTAATACACTTAACTAGGAAGATGGAAGGTTCATAAATTGAAACCAACATAATACTGATGAAGGAAATTAAAGATACAAGTAAACAGATGTTCATGTACTGGAGTTGTTAATATTGTGGAAATACCCATTACTGCCAAAAGTGATCTAGGCATTTAATGCCATCCTCTTCAAGATACCAATGGCATTTGTCACAAAACTATTTTAAAATTCCTAAAATTCATTCCAAACCACAAGAGGCTCCAAAAGGCCAAAATAAATAAATAAATAAATAAATAAAATCTTGAACAACAACTGGAAGCATCACACTTTTCAAATTTTT